TTAGTATATCCAGGTTAATTACTTTATACGCGTTCATCTCGAGGTTTTTTTTTTAGTGCTTTATTTTATTTTTTTCGTTTCTCCAGGAATTGAGTTTTATATTTTCATGGGAACATATTTTTTTATGTTGATGATTTAAGGTTCAGGTGATAGTCTTACACACGAAAACACGGTCGTATATTTTTTGCTTTTATAATTATCCTTATTGATAACAATTATTTCCTTGTGTGTTACATTGTTTCCTGTTGGACACACACACACACACACACACACACACACACACACACACACACTCAAACTTTTACTTGGTTACACAGTCAATTTTATTCGAGCATACCAACACAATGCCATACGTACGAGTTTACAAAATCACTGTAGAAGTGTAGATTTTAGTGACATATATGTTGTGAGGCTTTGTTATGAGTATGTTGTATAGTATGTAGGGAGGACATGAGTGGCTTAGTATACTTACTGACTTGTTATGAAGTATTGGGAATTATTGTGTATGGTGAAGATATATTCTGTATGCCGTGTATATAAGTTAAGGATATAGTAAGTAAGTGTGGAATATTTGTACTTGTCGTCTTAGGCATTCCTTGTCATGGGTACTACATCGACCTCAGGGATGGAGGGATTTTGCCTTGATCTTTGCCGTCTGTTGCTGTTTTTTTCATGGTTTTTAAAATTTAAGATGAATAACCCAGAAAAAGTATATATATTTTCTTAATCCCCTTTCTTAGGTGTAATCCATAGGGGAGTCTTGATTTTCATAATTTGGGTTTTCAGTGTGTTGATGACTTTGACTCGCTAAGCGCTGTCCACTTGATTCCCCCCAAACAGTGGTCTCTTAAGTGTGTCTTTCGAAGGGGATCCCCCATTGTGCTTAAGTTACATGCCAGTATTTTATATTTCCTGGTGTTTGACGTCTCTCTCTCTCTCTTAACTTTTCGTCTATTTGATCCTTCCAAACAGAGATAAATAACTGTTGGAAACCATATATAAATCCTCTTGATCCCTCGAGGTGAAGGCGTTAAGGATCCCCGAAATTTATATGACCTTTACTTCTAAGCTCATAGATGTATTTGGAATACATCCCTTGTAACGATACAGAAATTTGGATGAAAATATATGCCACAGGGACACAAAGGTCAAGGGTCAAAACTGAAGGTCAAATGAGAATATGTAAGAGCGTTCGTGTTGATACGGGGACTCTGTGGCACGCTGATAAAGGAATTTCAGTTAATTATATATGGTAATGACCCTTAATTTAATTTTACTCATCACTCAAGTTTCATTAGCAGGTCTCATTATCCGAAATTATTTTTTTTCGGCTGTTTCCTTCATCAGCATAATGGGAAGAAATTTCTTTTATCCGCCATCTGTTTCTCAGGTAAATTTTTAATTCCGTTATTGCGTGGAAAGACACTTTTAAAAGTTGTGCAACCATAGTGTTGACCGTCACCGTATCAAAGTATTGCCAAGCTCTGAACACTATCCTACACTGTTGTTCCAAAAGTGTACAAAAATCACTTAGATACGTTTTTTTAGTTTTGATACATTTTGGTGACGCAATTTTCACAGATGCCTACAAGCACATAATTATGTGAACATACATTTTTGCATACAGACATGCCTATTGTACATCCTGTTGTGGCCAAACCAAACCAAACCAGACCAAACTAAACCAGACCAAACTAAACCAAACCAGACCAAACTAAACCAGATCAAACTAAACCAAACCAAACCAAACTAAAGACCAAACTAAACCAAACCAAGACCAAACCAGACCAGACCAAACCAACAGACCAAACTAAACCAGACCAAACTAAACCAAGGCCAAGCTAAAAAGACCAAACTAAGCCAGACCAAACTAAACCAGACCAAAAACCCAGACCAAACTAAACTGACCAACCAAACCCAAGCCAAACCAGACCAAACTAAACCAAACCAAACCAGACCAAACTAAACCAGACCAAACTAAACCAAACCAGACCAAAACCAGACCAGGCCACCAGACCAAAAACCAGGCCAAACCAAACTAAACCAGACAGACCAAACCAAGCAAGACCAAACTAAACAGACCAAACTAAGCCAAGCCAAACCAGACCAAACTAAACCAAACCAAACCAGACCAAACAAACCAGACCAAACTAAACCAAACCAGACCAAAACCAGACCAGGCAGAAACCAAAGACTTAAACCAGACCAAACTAAACTAAAATAGACCAAAACTAAACCAGACCAAACTAAACCACAGACCAAACCTAAACCAGACCAAACTAAACCAGACTAAACCAAACCAAACCAAACTAAACCAGACCAAACTAAACCAAACCAAACCAAGACCAAACTAAACCAGACCAAACTAAACCAAGCCAAACCAAACCAGACCAAACTAAACCAGACCAAACTAAACCAAACCAGACCAAACTAAACCAGACCAAACTAAACCAAACCAAACCAGATCAAACTTATTCAAGAGTTTTGATAAAACTATTGATATAGACTAGGTCACTAGAGCATCATGTTGACGTTTTGTGTGAACCCACCGAGCATCAGGCCGCAGTAAGCTTATCAATTAATTACTTGCTTTTAGTTTTTGTGAAGACTTTTGTAGTACGGCATTGTTGTTATGTTGTACGGCGTTGTTGTTGTACGGCGTTGACCGATATAAACCGTTTTAAGATCGTATTTCAATAATAAAACACAAATGATCATGAAATGGTATCGGCTTGTTCATGTAATGATATTTAGTCACTTATCAGAAAATAGTTCACTGGAGCCTATTGTTAACCTTTATGTCCAACTTAAGTTTTACATTAGTGCAACACCTTACTGCCACCAGATTTCACAGAAAAAGAAATACATATAATTATTAATTATAAAATTAAATACGTCTTGAAGTAAAACATTTAGAAAGCTCTGTCATCTACCAGAAGGTATAGCAATACTACAACAACTGTAACCTGTATGATTTTGTACTCACGTGTAGGCAGTACAGTCCTCAACATCCAGTGGCATTTAATCCGAAAATTGACCCAGTTATTTTAATATTTACACATAACTCAGAACAGCATCTGTTGTCATGGTAAGGCTCAATAGTTATTTATAATCATATTTTCTCAATCGGGCTGGTGACTATTAGAATTTAATTGGCCGAAACGCAATCCAACTAATACACAACATCGCCATTATATTTTCTATCACTCAAATGTTTCAGCTTTATTACGTTCATCAACTGTAAATTTACCTAGAGTTAAAGTTGTTAAAGCTATGGTTGCTTGAACTAGATTTTTTATTTTGTAGTGTAACCGGATGTTGGTACAAACTTTACCACCCCGTTCGCCCATCTGTTTCTCAGGACTTAGCGTCACTGTTAATTATTGGGTAGATTTGTATTAATATTCCACTAGTGTAGAATAATTGTATTGATGTGGTTAGTAATGACGATTTTGAATGCGGGTGTGGGGGAACAGCACTGCTAGAACATATCATCGTTTATAATGTCTAGTGCAGAGGCCGTAGTGTTTGTTTTATCCGTAGTTGTTACCCGCGAGTAAAAACACTGCCCCCCCCCCTTCCTGCCTTCCTTCCCTCCTTTTGTCCACTCGGAGCCTCGCCAAACATGTCTTGACTAATTTGAATACAAGTTGACCTGAAAGTGAAATCCTTGCAAACACTATTATGAATGTGCTTGAGTAAGAATTGTGATTAGAATTTAAGAGAGATATATATATATACTGTTGTGAGCCATTTCTTGCAGTTTAAGTGTGGAGAATTGTAGGTGTTTGGTTACATGTACTGACTGGAAAATGAGTGTAGGAGGCTAATGGAAAACCTTATGCAGTCTCCGAACATGATGCGAGTGACTCCCTCAGTCTTAAATCTCCGGGGGCTCTCTCGCTAGGCCACGGTAGGACGCCACCCTCCGAGAGGCTCCACATTGTCTCACTGTAGTGCATTAAGGTAGACCACATTTTTGGCTTTACCATTAGCAGCACGTATGTACAGATTTTTGCCAGTTCCCACTCTGAAGCATCCAACATAGAAACTGTCCATGAGAGAAGCAAGGAAACACCAGGTTTAGGCCAACCATCTTTAGGGACTGTCCCTGTCTTTTGTAGATGGTCATGGCAAAGCTCACTTTAACCGGGAACTGAATTCGCTTGAACTCAAATGGCAGGTCAGTGGTGATGAGAGGTATCCTTGGTATAAAAACGTCCTCTCCTCTAGCTTTCCCTGTCAGTATTGTAGCTTCCAGTACATGTGGCATCATGTTCTTCACCACCAGTCTTGAGCCATTGCAGAGGATTGGTGGTTCAAGATTTCTTAAGAGCATTATAAGAGTTCCAATCTTGAGAGTGAGGTGGTGAGGAGGCATTCCAGCTGGCTCCAAAGAATTAAGGAATTCTGCAGGGTACCGGACTGCTTGGTCCTGGTCGATTACTGTATCAACAGTGGATCCCGCAGCTCTCTGTCTATTAGCATTTAAACGAATTTCATGCGTTTAATCATTTTCTAGAGAACTCCTTTCTGCTGTTTACTATCTGTCAGCATTAAGACGGGATTCCCTTTCCTGATCTGTTTCCTGTGACCGACTGTCCGCCTCTTCCTTCTCTTCTTTTTCCATCTGGTTTTCCATAGGTTTGGTTGTAAGTAATGATCAACGAAACAAATGAGGTAATTGAGTGACTAACATGTTTTGGATGCAGGTGGTTGTATATGTGATGAGTATTGAGTAACAGCGAGTAAGTGAAGATATCAGTGAGGTTAATGAGTAACAACAGGTGATCGCTAATGAGTAATTTATTGTATTTAACCCCTCATGTTCGGGGTTCCTTTCTGAGATGAATGAAATCGTCCGGTGTTAGCTAAATAAAATATTAAAAGGGGCGTCCCTGTAGTGAAGGTGTTAATACAGATTTTGTTCACTTTGTTATGAGTGAAGGTGGCCGTGGGAATGATAACAATTAACAACATTTGTTTCTATTGTGTTACAGACTGACTCGCCACCATGTCGTCAGTGAAGGTGGCTGTGAGGGTTCGTCCCTTCAACAACCGCGAGATAGCTCGCGAGTCTAAATGCATCATAGATATGGGAGGCAAAACCACAAGTAAGTCGGTCATGGTTTTTTCTGCTATGTTAAATTTTTGTATTATCTTTATTGTTATTTCTGAAGTCGTCATCCTCTCCTCCTCTCGACGCCTCAACCTTTTTGACATATCACCTTTACTCAGTGTAGCTCTCTTAAGATGAGCTTCTAAATTATTTACTTCCTTCATTCCTCGCATTTTCATTTCACTTTGTCTCACTTTACCTTTTTTTTTGCTGTTTCCTTGGTCACTGCCTTAATGAAATTAAATCCATCATCCCATCCTCCATCTTTCTATAAGTATTGCAACATACCTCATTCTCTTATGACAACTCTGGTCCGCCTAAGTTCCCATTAGTCGAACCCTATCAATACTCACCTCCTCCACGTGTAGTTACCCCAACACATAGTAGTAAGGAGACAAAACTTAAGTAATGTGTATTTTCTTGACATTTTTCACGAGTTGTATTTTCCCTGTGAATAATGTGCATGTTAGTTATTAAATAGAGATGAGTTATTTGTCGAATCACTTAAGTAGAATTGTGTCACCTATTAGTCACTTCCTTAGCAGCCAAGTTTCACTCGTTAAGTTGAAATATGTCACTTGTTATGTAATTGTGTCAGGTGTCATATGTTAAGTAATACTGTAGAGTATTATGTTGTAGTTTGTTCAGATGCCGGGGCTATGGTGATTAAGGTGTTGTTTGTTAAGTAGGTAGCTTCATGTCACCTGTTAAGTAGGTAGCTTCATGTCACATTTTCTGTAATTGTGTGTTGCTTGGTGAGTACTTGTGTGTTACAGGAGAGTACAGCAAATATGTATGTTCATATTTTAAGTGAGTAGTTGCACGTCACATATTAACATTTTTCATATCATTTGCTAAACAGATATGTAGATATTGCCTCCTCACCAAGCAGTTATATGATAATGTGAGTGAAAAGGAGGAGGAATAGGAAAACGGTGACTTATTTCTCCGGTGTATTCATGTTTCGATATATATGTGTGTGTGTTGTATATGACCTATGGAACATTGCCGCTATTATTATGTAAGCTGTAGAAGTAGTTTTAAGGGAGGTCTAGATCCAGTCAATATATTTTTATGAGGTTTTCCCGCCGTACACGTAACCTAGTGTTGTGGGTGGCGGTGTTTCGGTCCCCAGTCTTATACCAGCTGCTACATGGCTTTCAAAACACGACCACTTGTTCCTTATCATGAACTTGTTTAATCTTTAAGCAACTTAGTTTTATAGTTTTCATACTTGAGTAGTACGTATCTACAGGATATTAGTTGGAGCACGTATAGAGGTATTGTTAAGCCAGATCCCAGTCCTCCCGCAGCACCATGGTTGACATATTAGGAGGCGGCGCCCAGAAGAGCCAACAGTGTGGGAATCAGAATCTGTAGATATGAATATGTAAAAAAAAAATACTTTTCTGCCTTGTAATGTATCTAGCTGTTTTAATAACCATCATGTTCATACTCGTAACTTAGTGTCCGCATGTCATGTCGACCAGTGTTGTTGAGTTACATACGAGAGGGGACACTTATAACGTATGGGAGTTTGGTCCAGTAACACTCCTTGCCAATGACAGAAGATACTCGAAGCAGCAGGGAGTTCCCCATAGTTCTAGTCGGGGCTACACATCAATATTGGTGGGCTGAGGTTCTGCAGAATGGAATTTCTTGAGCAATCAATTAGGCCGATTGAAATTGTGTAGTGTTGACACTGTTGAGTGTAATTCGTCAAAACGCAGACTATGGGAGTATCTGTAGAATATAGAAAGTAACGAGATATCCTTGAGAATGTGCAATGGTGGGAATTTTCTGATATGGTCATTATTGCTGGTGGTTTTCGCACTGAACCGAAGTGGCAAAGTGCCCCAACACCACACCCAGCCCACAGATGAGATGACAGCAGTGTTCCTCTGAGTCCATGCTTCATTGAAGGCGTTTGGGCTGAATCTCAGACGAAATTTGTCAATTCATGGAGTAATAAATGGCAAATAAATATATATTTGAGAACTTGCGAATAAATTCATTGAAAGACGCTGTATTATTACAACAAAGAACGACTGTTTATAACCACTCTCATGACCAACTACGCTGAGTTCCCTTGTAAAAGGAAATTGCCCGTTAGAGGTTTTTAGGCTAGAAATTCACTCTTTTGAGCAACACTTCAGTGCTTCGGACAGCCATGCTTACAACAGCTAGGCATTTATATCCGATTTGAACGTGAAAAAAAGAATAACGGATCAATACTAGAGTTTATTGCACCGGCGACAGTCTACCTGTACGCCAGCTCCAGGAGGCACTTGGCGACTCACGGTGTTCATACACAATATACACGCGATGTTCAGTATTGAGGTTCCTGTACCTCTGAGTTGGTAGATACAGTTTATTTTATATTGACTGTGGATATATTTAATATTTTGGTGGTGAAGTTTTCTTTTATAGCGTTAAACTTGGTGGTTATGGCAGTTTGGTTATATTTTAGTTGGTAACGGATATAGTTATTTCTTCTTTAGTGAGTAAGGTATAGGTTGGGTGACTGGCTAGGCTGGGTGGGTTGTGTTGACGAGTGACTCACGGGCCATTCTCCTCAGCTGACTCACAACTATTTCCCCGCCCCCGCCACACAACTCTACGCTACACCCCTGCCATGTTTAACTATCCCCTGACAACCCTACCATATTTAACTTTCTCTGTCACCCCTGCCATATTTAACTAGTGTAGAGGACGTTGTTGATCAGCTGTTGTTTAATTGATACCGTCATATTGAAGTGACTCGTTCAGATATGTCCATTAAAACGAGTCTGGGAGGTTAGGTTAGGGATAGATAACGGTCAAATTTTGTCATTCTAAATCCTAGCTTGTTTGTCCTCATAAGATCCTCCACTGTATTCGTTAGTAGATCCTTCGTTACTCTACGAACTTTTGCTGGAACATAACGAATTTTCCTTAGATCAACACGAACGGCCCTGAAAAAAATCCACGTACAGTATGGAGAATCGAGTTTACTAAATTAACGAAAACTCATATATATATATATATTAGTTCGTGGTTATTTTATTATTCATGGAGAAATATTTAACATAAGACGGAAAGGTAAAGGTTTACAGTATCACATTCACATTAGATTTAGATCTCAGTTTAATTGTTTACTTGGTTGATGAGTTGCTTCATGTTCCAATCTCCGTAAAATGTGCTCCGCGTGTCTTTAATGAACAAGCTCTTCTAGATAATGGAGTTAAAATTGCCGTTAATCCGTTGCAGTTATCTGAATAACCATTTTTTTTTATGCGAATGGCAAATTAATACTTGCAATTAAATATGAGTGCAAGCATTTATATAACTTCCTCTCTAATGTGTTTGTTTGAAGGGAAAAATCTGGCCGAAATGTTGGCCAGCTTAGTGTTGTTGTTACAGGTTGGCTACGGAAGAAAACTATTGGGTCACTTTTTCTCTATAATGATGGTCTTATTAATTTATAAAAAAAATATCCAATGACAATTTTATTATTTGTTTTGTGGAATAAGTATAGAGGAATTAAGGTGTGTACTGTGAATAGGTCGGATACTGTGTAGATGTGTTTTTGTGCATTTTCTGTGTTTCAACATCCCAGAGCATGTAATAAAATATCACTTCATACACAAGGGTCACTAGACAACTTTTAGAAACCAAGGAAGATACATCATCCTGCCGTTGAAATATCTGGGAATAGTTTTAGGACCTGATGTACAGTATATGTCTGATTAACGATAATTTTGACTGAATTTCCCAGCCCGGTGGACAACTCTCGCGAAGTGATGACTGAGTGTTCATGATGATGTACAGTATTTAACAGACAAATGATATAAGGACAGCTGTGGTATTAAACACCATATCAATAGTATCACAACGCTGATATATTGTAGTGCTGACAAATATAAATTAGGTTCAGTCCCGGCGGATCATAGGTGTCACCTACTGTACTCTTGGCCTTCATCTGTTTGTACACCAGAGAAATACCCAAGTCTCTTTATGGTGCAAAAATATTACAGATATTGTACAGGACTTAATGTTTTCCTCTTCAGTGTAAACTTCATCAGATAATTAAATTATAGCAACCAAAACTTGCGGTATGTCAGTAACTGAACACACACACACACAAGAACATAAGAACATAAGAATGAAGGAAACTGCAGCGGGCCTATTGGTCCATACTAGGCAGGCCCATTTACACCCAACCCCTATTGCTCATATAAGCATCCAACCTATATTTGAAGCTATCCAGTGTATTCGAGTTAATGATGATATTTGGTAACTTGTTCCATTCATCCACTACTGTTACCAAACCAGTGTTTACCTATTTCGCGCCTAAATCTAAATTTGTTTAATTTGAAACCATTGTTACGAGTTCGCTCATGGTTGGATAGTTTGAGTACCTTTGTAATATCCCCTTTGTTCAGCCCTGACTTCCATTTATACACCTCTAACATATCGCCTCTCACTCTACGTCTCTCGAGAGAGTGCAAATTAAGATGCTTTAACCTGTCTCTGTACTCAAGGTTCCTAATGCCCGGGATTAGTCTTGTCATTCTCCTCTGAATTCTTTCCAAGGATTCTATATCCAATCTGTAATACGGTGACCAGAATTGAACTGCGTAATCCAAGTGAGACCTCACAAGCGCAAGATATAGTTTTAGGATGACCTCGCTATTCTTGTAACTAACACTCCTTTGTATGAACCCAAGTACTTTATTAGCCTTGTTACGAGCAAATACACATTGTTTACTTGGCTTAAGGTTCCTACTTATCATTACTGTACTCCTAAATCTCTCTCACAGTAGGATTTTTCAGTGGCATCGTTGTTCATCTGGCCACTGGTTTCCCTGTTTACATCTCCTATACTAAGTACTTTACATATGTCCACGTTGAATTTCATCTGGCATTTTTCAGACCATTCGAAAAATTTGTTTAGATCTTCCTGTAGTTTTGTGGAATCCTCGTCAGATTTAATAACACGTCCTATTTTAGTGT